CATAAGGCATCGGAATAAAGAATTCGATGTGTCGCGAAACTCGTACGAAAAGAGTGGGCGGGGTCTTCAACCGTGTGTCAGTTGTACTGTATTTGAGGCTTCCTTTCAAGTGTGATTTCGATTTTGGGTACGTCGGAAGAGTGTGAGATAGCGGAGACGTTGCGCCCTCGAAAACGTCTGTACGAGTTCGGTCTGAGCCTGGAGATCAGGGGGCGGAGCGACCTCGTTCGTTTCAGCATCGCTTCGCCAGAGAAAAATCGATCGATAAAAATTCTTATGGAGTCTTGGGAAGCTGAAAAAATGAGATATTATATTTTTAAAACTGAGAAAGAGGGGAAAAATACTAATAAGAGGAACTTGAGGAAGAAGTTGCTTTCCATAAAGAAAAAAGTACGCCCTCGAATTTCCGCTTAGGACCATTTCTGCGTCACTCACCTCCTGTTCTCTCCGTCTGCGCCTGCACATTCAGGATAGAGACGTAGAGGAGTACCAGCAATAGTATGGCGAAAAAATCAATAGCTATGAATATTCGGCTCTCACTGGAGTTCGCTAGTGTCAAGAATAGTGGATAAATCACATGTCCCATAGATGACCCGGACATCAAAGCGAAAATTCTTTCAGCTGTAAAAAATCAATAATAGTGACAGCCACGCTTACTTTTCCTTTACCTGGTAAAGATAATGTATGCCTTATATACACGATCATTGATGGTAGAAGAGTCGATAGGAAAAATCCAAATAATGCAGACCCAGGCCATAAACCCCTATCAAATGTGAAAGCACAGCAAGCAGCACCGCAGCCAATCTGAATCGCTTCTCTGATTGGTCAGTTGGTAGTGGGCGGAGTCAGCCACTTACAATGCTGATTCCCATGTAGAAATACGATGCGACTTTATCTGCTAGCAGAACAGCTACAAATCGTCCAAGCACCATAGCTGCCTGAAAATTCTTGGAATTAGATGAACATAAGGGCTAAATTCAATATTTTTACCAAAAATATTTGATACTCCAGGGCTCCACCCTCATGTGCCAATAATAAGAAAGGAAATAAACTGTGGAGTACGGTAGCGATACAGGCTACTACTGCGCACAGTAGGACGAGTTTGAGCGATTGCGCTTCCTGGTTAGCGCCTAAAATGAGGAACTTTTTATAAATGGTGCCAAAGTGCCGTAAACTTACCTTGATCGATGTCCTCATAATCTGCGCGAGGTCTATGGTGTGTAGTTGGTTCAACTTCGCTTTTCGTTTTGTATAAGAGGTAAACGATGGGTAACTGTAATTCGATTACTGTATTGATTATATCGATTTTTTAGTGAAATTTGTTGAGGATTGAAAATTTATGGCAATGTCCAGGCAGACTGAAGCGCATGAACTTCCTAAATGTATATAAATAACGCTAGCTAAACTATTGCCTGGCTACACATGATTTACTCTTTGCGAGAAGCTAATTTCCAACTTTTGCCCAGTACCGTACCTGCGGATGCTGTTTGGTCCCAGAAGTACGGTATGGGCGAGAACTTACATTTGGCTTTCTTGGCCAAGTATGGAATGTATAAGCTGAGGTAATGGCTTAGTTAGAGTTTTCAATTAGTTTCCAATGAGAAAGCTGGATTTTCAAATTGCATGGACATTTTCTCTGTGAGTTGCAAATTTTACAAGTTTTTTCCAAAATTAAAAGAAGAACCTGAGCAATAGTGAAACAGATGAGCACATGTTGTATATCGATATCGTCGATGATATGGAATTTTTCCAGGCTGAAAAATTTAGAATTCAATACAAGCAAAGCTTTTAAATTGAGAAAAGACAGACCTGGCCATATGCGAAAGTCCTAGAACTTCTGATGTATCATCACAACTAAATTCAGCAGAGGTGTGAAAAATGAGGGAGGCTGATAGCTTTCCAATTGCGAGAAATACATAAAGGATCTGAATATATGATTATATGAGACACCAACGAGGACAACTGCTACACGGTATAATGCAATGAGACGCATGATTTGTGGCAGATGTCTGCGATGGTGACGCTTTTGGAAACAGTCTTCTCAGCATTTCAAGTTGCACATTCTACGGATTCTTCAAAATCATCACAAAAAACGCTGCGTGAATTCCATAAGATCCCAATTGAAATTTTTTCCTGCCCCTCCCCTCCCCCCTTTCTCGTTTCACCAAATATCGTTACATGTGTCCCACAAAACGAATCACGGGAATATTTCCCAGAGGAGTAATATAACTGAAGCAATCTCGTGCCTACACAATGGCCACCTAGAAGAACTTTTATAAAAGTGCAAGAGGTTGAGGCATTGCTGAAAGTGCAAGAAAAAGGCCTAAGATCGTGGCGATGGCGATATTTTGTGATGCAAAAAATCAAATTTAAGAATTCATAATTTAAAATCGAATGTTATAAGACCGCTCCCCTTCATATTTCATGAAATCTGTAAACCAAAAAAGTATAAGCCTCTTACATGAATCATTCCAAAATACTCCTCATGAAAGGCTATGATGAAAGTGTACGGTGTCGAACAGGCAACAATTCCTATACTTAGTCCGGTCATGAGCAGAACTACCGTAATCGCGAGCATGTGGCTAAATAGGAGGAGACCCCATAGTGCAGCGCTGATAATGATCAGACAACAGAGTTGGATGCGATGGATCTCGGTCCTAGATGAAAGCATTACAGAAATATACAGAAATATTGAAAATAAATATGAAAAAAGTGGAAAAGGAATTTTACGTCGATTTTCAAATTGTATCAAATTCCAGACATAGCAAAAAAGCAGAATCTCTTCTTATATTTTCCTGATCAAACATGGAGGACAAAAATACAAATTTTGAAACAGAAGTCGAAAAAATAGGAACCATTCCAAATTGTTGTCTGAAGAAAATAAAAAAGATG